ACTGAAGCTCTTGTCACAGCTTCCAGGACGTCGTACCAGGCCCCTATGTCCTCAACACGGGCGACATCCGGTCGGCGAAAGTGGCACAAGAACTTGATAGCGTCCAGACGGATCTCAATGACGGTGTTAATAAAGGCAAACAACGGGCCGAGTGGGAACGCAGCCACAAACATGGTCACAAAGCCATACTGTAAAACTGAAATTAGTCAAGAATGATTCAATTCTGAGATTGCCACCCTTTGCCTCAGTGAGCATACAATCTAGATGTATCAGCAGAGGCGAAAATGCATTTTATAGACTAGTTCTATGTTATCTTGAGATAACAGGGCTTCGTACAGAAGCGGCTACATGAGGTCTCCACCAAGTAGCTGTAAATGGGGAAAAAAATTTCTGAAAGGGATCTTTAGACTGTAACAGTAAAGTTGGTGTCGATATTGGCGAATCACGATGCGCAAGTTTACCAATTAAACGAGAGAAAGACCGAATATTATATTCAAATACACATCGATTTATTATGCAATATATATATATATTTATTATCATCGTTATTATGACTATGATCATCATCATCATCATTATTATTATTATTATTATTCTCATGATTTGAATTTTTCAATGTTCCATTTGAGTTACAAATTTGCTCCACTTGCTTAGCAATCATGAACTTGGCCTTACAACGGCTTTTGAAAATTCAGTTGAGTTGAAAAGATATCAATTTCCACAATATTTAAAATTCTTACCAATTTCTAAGTACTCCCAGAACATGTAATGCTTTTCACATGCAGTTAGATCGTAGTCGCTTTCGTACTGACGACAGTCATCTGGATTCTCTTTGTTACGCCGATTCTTCAACAGACTCAAATATCTAAAACCAAATGAGAGCATGCGCACTTAGAATAGGCTGTTAGGTTTGAAACTGTGCTAACGAAAGAAATAAACAAATTCCGAAAAGATTCAAGCTCTCTAAAAGAACGTCCTTGGTACTTACGGCATCGCCATTTCAAATATATTGAAGAAAATCTGCTTTCCCACCATGATTATAAAAAGTTGAACAGCAAGTTCCAAAAAGCATCCCTGCTCGCTGCAGCCGTCTAATCGATACTTGCTCATCAGCCTCCTGTATTTTCCAGGAGATCCCACAATAAGGTTTGATTTAAAGAAAGCAATATAAAATAGGGCTGAATAGTTATTGACGAACTGGAAAGAAGACATTTTCCATGTGAAACTGTCCTTGTAAGCGCTTTCTGTGGGTGGGTTTTCCCAGTCAGTGAGCCAAATTGCCAGCTTCTCGTACACTTTGGACAAAAACATTATAAAAACAAGATTGATAAGCGCAGCCGTTGCCGCCGTGATGATACGAGCGCGTTTTTGAACATTGTTGTCCCTGCTACCACTCAGTACAGCAAACATGGCGGCACGGTATACCACTACGCCAACTGCAGCTCCGAGAACTAGAAGAATCATGAAAGCTACCACGGCAAAGACTGTGCCATATCTTCGGTACGTCTTAACCTTGGAAACTACAGGTTCTATTTTTCCGGTCTCTGGGTTACGTTTAAAGAGAAACATTTGCAACTGTTCTTTTGGTAAACTTTTCCTGTATTCAGGACGAAATTGTTCTTCTTCTTCCTCAAACTCAGAGGTGTGCCATTCTTGAGCGAGGGATGCTTGGCGACGTTTCCAAAACTCAAGGAATAGCGTGGCCCAGATGGCCACAACAAAAGCAAGGAACACAGTTCCATCGTTGTCAAGCAGATGCGTTGTGTAAGCATACATGCAGACGTCGGGAGCTAGATTCCAAAAGCTGCACTGTTTGTCACACAATGGACACATATACCAACGACCTCTGTTTTTCTCGTCGCAAAGATCTTGAACAGGGATGTAGGAGCCTGCTGAGATAACACCAGCGATGAATACCAGCAAGCCAACAATAGCAAGAGGAAACAACATGGCGGTGTAAAATCCGAGCCAGGCAAAATAGAGGCCGACTTCGTGTCCGAAGTAATCCTTGATGGCATCATAAGGTTGATGCTTGAAGAATCTGCCAAATCTTGCCCAGTCTGCTTTCAGCTTCTGTCGATCATTTGTTGCAGTTTCTCCTTTTTCCTGCGAATCTGGGCCATCATGAAGTGAATACCCAGCGAGGTAAGCCTGATCCAGAAGAAGCCTCTGTAGCCCCACCCCGTCCGGTCCTCTCGCAAACCGGGCATTTTGAAGCAAGTGTTGGACGATGTAGTGGCGATCCAAGACGTTGAAAAAGCTCTCTTTGTCCTCGTTGTTCACATACTCGCTCAAGTAATCTTCTAAAAAGGGAGCCATGTAAAAGCTCGGCTTTTCGCCCAGGGTGGAATCATGAAGGACAAAAGGATTTTTGCTTTGCAGCTTTTCGAACAATTTGTGACCAATTATATTCTCTATCCATGAAGAAAATACCGCGTCATTGGGTCGAAGAGGAACCTTTAATCTCATCCGTTCAGCACTCTGTGCCAACACATTCCAAGGCGCATGGATCAGCACAAAATGACGTTCTATTTCTGGATCCTGCATAGTGCATGAAAAGTAAATTCAAAATTTTACATGAACATTGATGATATAAACAAGAGCTAATCGAATTTAAACTGGAAAAGGAGAGAATGTGCGGCTGTATTATAAAACATTTCATCGCTGTCCCTTCCCCCAACAGTCTCCTCTATCAGCAACGTAATTCACCCAGGCGGTTACTTTTCATGTAGCTAGCTTAAGTAGTTCCTACTCTTAGCGTGTCGATGCGATGGTACTTTTACCGCAAAGCTTTACAGGGTAAATATTTTTCTTCAAGGCTTTAGTGAGTACTTGCAACCATTACCCTGCAATTAATATTGAGATTCTCCTATTCGTTTGAGTTTATAAATCAGATTAAAGAATGTTAAAAGATCGATAAAATTCTAGGCGGTTATTGTTAGCTATGAAAACTTGGAGAATGAAAATTTACTGAAAAGCCCTGCGAATAATGCAAATTAAAACATGGCCCTATAAGCCTCTAAATAAATATTGAATGTGATAAAATGAAATAGCAATAATAGAATTTCTAATCTATAATTATTTACCTCCCCGATGATCACAGTCTTACGCTGCAGATCTAACCCTAGTTTATTTTCAAGGCATTTTTCAAATGAATATCGCCATGCGAGAAGTTTCCTTTGTTTTGCGAGAGCATCATCATCCATTCCACTGACATCCTTTGGAGTTTCGTAAACCAAAACGTAATCAACATGCTTTTCGTAGGTTTTATTTCTCTTGTGTAGTTCGCTTGGATCGTCTTCAAGGGATACTTGCGATTTTTCATTCAACTCTATCTGGATGTTATCGATTCGGTCCAATCTCGCATAGGATCCCCTTTCCATATCAATTTTATATTTCCAGCTTTGCAACGGTGGCCAGGTGATGACAGATGCGATTAAATTAAGGAATTCTTGTTGGAGAAATACGTTGGCAGGATGTGTTAGGTTCAATGTCCTTTTAAAGCAGGCGAAAATTTCAAAAGGCGTTAAGAATGGCTTCGAAATGCGAATCAGCGTTGAAAAACTCGCGCCGTTATTATTAATTCAAGCTGCTTTTATGATATTTTGGAAACACAGAGGCCCATGACAGCATTAATAATTTATTACTAGAAATGATGCTTCTGTACTTGTAGTTAATGGAAATGTCTGCTCAATTATCGTAAAGCGGCTTTGTGACAACAGTCCGATTCATCATCTCATGCGAAAGTAAAATAATTATACTGCAGGAGCAATATTTCGACTAAGTAACTATCGGTCATAGCGAAGTATGTTAAATAGAAACAAATCGCTTTCAAAGCGGTCAAAAATTTGACAGGAGCTTGGCAAATTTTCGTCCTTTAAATGGTTTTTACTGGCTCGCTATATTTGGATGTTTTCCAACGTTTTTGGTGTAGAGAAAACTCTTCATGCTCGAAAACATGAAGGTTAAACATAGATGATATGCAATGAGGAAGATAACCTTTTCAAGGAACATAGTGGTACTTTTTTTTTTAATTATCATGTGAGTCATTATTACGTTTTGGGCTGAGGAGTATTCAGAAAACACCTGTAGCTGAGAATGAAGCGAGCGCTCCAGGGGGTGACCAAACAAAACAAGCTGACTCATAATTCCACCAGCAAAACTGAACAAAAACGTGGATATAGAACACCTGGTAAACTAAGGAGGGCGTTGGCGGTTTAAATGACCAACTGGTACGTACAAATGGAGTAAATGATAAACCATATGAATGATTGGTAAACACTAGAGTAAAACATTTTAGGTACACCGTTATGATAAAATTATGATTAAGGATGATACCTATTGTGGCATGGAAAATAATTACTTCAGACAGAGTTTTGCCGAAATTGTTTCAAAAGGTTGTAATTGTTATCCTCTGGTGTTCTGCATCACATACGATTGATATCATCACAGGTAAAAAACTTCTAAACGACATTTGTATCCAGCGGTGTCCATTGGCTTGACTGAGGACCCTTATTTTCAAGAGAACTGAATTTCTTCAGGCTACCATCGGTTATTTTGTGCGGAGGCTTTGTGCATTGTAAACCCATTTCAGGTTTATGAAAAGAAATTCGAACTGGAAGACAAAAGATAAAGAAATAATGCTATTATTCCCTTAGGAAATTAATAATTATGTTTCTTTTCACCCTGCAGTTGAACGATACTTTTATTACCTGTGATAAGAGGTCTGATAAATAGGGACAGCTTTACCGCTGTCTAATCCTTTTGGGACGGAGAGATTTAAAATGTCCGCAATAATATAGGAAATTTCATTCAAAGGTTTTCCTCGAACTTATGTGTGAGAATCAGAGGCTGCTTGTGAGAGTATCCTGTGACAAAGCTCTCTTCAACTTAAAAGGGAGAAAATGAAGCAATTATCGAGAACGCTATCACAAACCCTAAGGGTTTTTTAATTCTCATCTTAGATGAAAATGATCATTTGTAACTTTGCAGGCGATTAATTGAAGATTCAATTGTAGTTTATTGCAATCTCACGCTGGGTCTTTTACAGAGAAAAAAAAACACTTTACAACCAATGATGCTTTTCGTTCTTAACATTTAACTCTAGAGCACCAAGCGAAATAATCAAACACTTTTCTAGATTAAGGTTATCAGTAACGGTTTCTCAACTAAACCACTGTTTATATAACAGGGAGTTGAGTATGTTGAAACTGCTGGGAATAATCAGCACGGAGAGCCAAAATATAAATGCAAGATTCGAAAATATCGAATTAGTTTGAGATATGGTACTTGCTCTGAAATACAATAGAACATGAAATGAACATTCTTACGTCTCAAAATTTAGAAGGGTCAAAACCGCGAAAATTGCTTATTATATAAAAATAATTCAACCTTTTACCAAAAGGAAATTGTAAAGTACAAGATATTCCTACATGTTCAGAACACATTGCACGCAAGTAAATTTTCTCTAAGCTATGAGCCAACTAATATGAAAAGGTTTAACTACGTAGAAAAATTCAAAGCCCTTGGAAACAATTGAAAAATGGGCATTTGAAATGGCGACAATGCGAAAAATTTTCGTGTATTCCTCATTTAGCTGAAAGAATAATTTTTTAAGATCTGAAATTTCCCTTTTATATTTGTGGCTCGTAATGGTCAGTTATGTAGTCTACTTCTACAGTTGTTTTGAAATTATGTCAAATATTGATCTCATTACAGCATCTCATTATCCGGGGGTACGTGATGGTCACCATTGCTTTCATCAATATCATACTTCTTTCTAAACGCCAACTTCGTCAAATGCTGTTCTCGTTTGGCCTTCAAATCCAGATCCTTTGGAACATCAGGTACCATGTAGGCGATGAAACTTGTGATGAGGTACACAGAGAACTGGAACACAAACACGAAAGCGAGGCGCGCAGCTATCACGTGCCAGTATTGCTTGTTCTGTTTGTAAGGTGGAGTCGATGCAAAATAGCCATGATATCTAAGACAGAAATAAAGAATCACTTAAGTCGTAGATAGGCAATGTGATGTAATATCTGGAAGAACTTGAAAACCCGTTCTCAAACTCATTAAGACACGCCAATTTCGTCACGTGCATTCCGGTGAAACACCGAAACGACGTGCTGTCTTTGAGTTTCATATAATATCAAACCCTTGAGTTTAATAAAGCATCAAACCCTTGATTTTGATAAAGCATCAAACTCTAGTGAACTCATTTCTTAATATGAATATTAATAACGCGTATTTGAATACTTAAAACAAAGACACCAACATGAACAAACAACCTTGTGATAACATTATTCACAGACAAATCACCATAACAATACAATTTTTCGTAACAACAAACTTGCCGACAACATGTTCGTGAATATGTCCATTTTCTTTTTTTCCTGAGGCACAATTAAGAAGCTATATCAAAAAAATCGTGCATCGGATTTCACCAGGGTTCCCAAACACTCGAAAACAATAAAAGCATCATCAGTTTCATCAGTTTTCTCGTGTTTGGAAACCCTGATGAAATCCTCGCACTCGTTTTTGAAATAGTACGTCGATGATTCACCCAGGCTAGAACCCAGTCCTCTTACAGTAACCACAAGAACACAACATGTCACGTCGAGTTTTGCATAAAATGATAAAAAGATACGTTTGCATTATATAAGAAAAAATGGGACCCCCTCGATATCATTCATAAAAACAACAGCAATCGAAAAAAAAAAGAAAAAAAAAAAAAAGGAAATTAGGAAATTAAAACAACGTAGTTACCTGCAACTGCTATTATGATAACGAAGATTTTCATAAATATTTTCTGGTTCTGTTCCAGGTTCTTGCTCGAACAGGTAGGAGACATCAATAGACGCCAAAGAGTTCTCTATGTATCCATCCAACGTACCTCCTCCTGTAGAGTTGCGGTCTGGAGCATACTTCATTTTGTAAAGAAGCTTTGGGATGTACTCTGATGTAAAGGCCAGCACAAAGGCATTTACCAGGACTGAAATTTTTGTCACACCCTCAAGGATTCGGAACCAGGCTCCGATATCTTCAGCACGTGCAGCGTCTGGCCTCCTAAACTGCGATACAAAGTTGATGGCGTCTACACGGATTTCAGCTATAGCAGTAAGGAGGGCAAAGAAAGGACCAAGAGGGAATGCAGCCACGAACATGGTCACAAATCCATACTGTAAAACTGCAAGTCGAATAACATGTATATATTAGACGGTATATAGAACGAGCGTTACGTGTCCGAGCATGGGCATCTTTTCAATGTGTTCGCTGAGAGAAAAAAAGATATCGTAATTTTGATGACGCTCACCTGTTCTTCCCTTTTAGTCACTGTTGATCTAGGATTGATTTCGATCAAAGCACCACGCAGTTTATAGAGTTACACAATTTGGACTAATAAATAATTTAAATATATCGCCTAATTTTTGTTTGTAAGAGGTTTTCAAGAAATGTTGAATTACGTAAGGTCTTTAGAAAACAATCCAAATTGCGATATATTGTAGAACGGCGGATGAAGCTTCTAATGTGAAATTGTCACTGAATCACAAAAATATTACAGCTTACCAACTTCGAGATACTCCCAAAACATGTAGTGGTCTCCTTGAGGACTCAGATCAAAGTCAAGCTGGTACTGTGGTTGGTCTTTGTCAGTTTCTTTGCGCCTCTTCAACCAGTACATGACATATCTGTGAAGAAATTACGATAACTTATCTCTAAGCATTGCAATTGAAAGCTGCTGGTAAGCAAGGCAAAAAACTAAGTCAAAGTAATTGTAAAATCAAGAGAATATGTGAAGCTGATAACACAAAATTACCTATACTGGCAGAGTGCAGTAACGTTTTCCAATTGAAAAAGATACCCAAATTCTTACATTTTTCAAGATTGTTGTGAGACATAACTCTAACTCTTCAAGAACACAGTTTTAGATGTGATATCGTATTCTCAGGTCGTTGAGAGAGAGGTTACTCATTTATTGGGTGTTTTTTAGCGACCTATTTTGTTACTTACGGTATAACAACTTCAGTGACGTTGCCAATAATCTGCTGCCCGACCATGATGATGAGAAGCTGGACACAAAGCTCTAAGAAGCATCCTTGTTCGCTGCAGCCATCCAATCGGAATCGACCGCCTATGCGCTTGTACCTGCCAGGGGTTCCAACCACCAGCCCTGACTTGAAAAAGGCGATGTAAAAGATTGAAGCATATGTATTCACAAATTGGAATAAGTACATTTTCCAAGTAAAGCTGTCTTCGTAGTCGGTGCGCGTAGGTGGGTTCTCCCAGTCAGTCAACCAGACGGCCAATTTGCTGTAAGCGAACTTCAAGAGGTTGATTGCGAGAAGATTGAGGAGAGCTGCAGTTGCTGAGGTAATAATCCTGGCACGTGTTTGGATTTTTTTGTCTTTGTTTCCACTTAAGGAAGCAAAAACTGCAGCTCGATAAACGACTACACCAACCACAGCAGCGATGACGAGGAAAATCATGAAGATAATAATGCTGAAAACCCCACCATACCGCCTATATAGAGTTAACTTGGGTACGTACGGTTCCATCTTTCCAGTGGCTTCATTTTTCTTGAGGGTAGTTACGGTTGAAGAGTACTCAGGACGAAGAGGTTCCTCTTCTTCTTCAAAGTCATCTGTGTGCCACTCTTGAGCAAGACTAGCCTGCCGACGCTTCCAGAACTCAAGGAACAACGTCGCCCAGACAGACGCGATGAGAGCTAAGCCCACTGTCCAATCATTGTCAAAGAAATGTGTGACGTAGGCATAGAGGCAGGTGGACGAAGCTAGATCCCAGTAGCTACACTGCCTGTCGCACAATGGGCACATATACCATTTGTTTTGGTTTCCCTTATCGCAGACATCTTTGACTGGAATGTGAGAGCCCGCGGAGACAATTCCATACAGAAACACAACAAGACCAACGATGGCGAGAGGTACTAACATTGCCGTGTAAAATCCAAGCCAAGAAAAGTACAGGGCGATTTCACTGCCAAAGTAATCCTTGATTGCTCCATACGGCTGGAATTTATAAAACCTTCCAAATCTGGCCCAGTCTCGATGCAATCGCTGTCGATCATTTGAAGGCTCCTCATCGGATTCAAGAGCAACGGGACCATCATGAAGTGGGTATCCTGCCACATATGCACCTTCATAAATCATTCTTCTGAGCCCAACACCATGTCGACCTTCTGCAAAGCGAGCATTGAAGCAAATTTGCTGCACAATGTATATGCGGTCAATGTTGTCGAAGAACTCCGCCTTGTTGTGGTGATTGACAAACTTTGTAACTTCAGCTTCCTTGAAGTTAGCCATGAAGAAGCTGCTTTTTTCTTCCAAAGTAGAATCCTGCACAATCAAGGGATTTCTCCGACGCAGTGACTGCATTCTTTCGCTTCCGATTGTCTTCTCCATCCATGATTTGAACACAATGTCGTTTTCTTGAAATGGAACTTTGAGACGCATCGCCTCCGCTTTTTTAGCCAATACGGGCCACGGAGCATGAATAAGGACAAAGTGTCGCTTGACTTCAGGATCCTGGTAGAAAAAACATACATAAGATTTAATTTAAAGAAGTTTCGATCAACAGATGCTACGTTCAGAAACGTAACAAAGCTCTTTTCAATAAATCGCTCGCTTTTAAACTAGTCTGTGGATAAAAGATTTTTGCCTGCCCTAAATCAACCTAGGTCCAAGCGTATTTGATAGAAGTTAAATTTGTTCAATTTATTGGCTAACTCTATATTTAATTTTTGGACGATTTTAATAACACACGAACACATGTTTGTTTGAACGCTTACTGGTAGTATTCAGTATATAAATTTTAAAAAGGTGGGCGAGATTTATCTCAATAAGGCAATAATTGAGAGTCATATGATATTTGAAGATGATGGCAGTTGTATATTGTTACGTAATTAACTGCTCAGTTTTCCATAACTCGTGATCGTGCCCCTTCAATGAAGATGGAAGGAAACTTTCAACAAGTAGCAAGAGTTTTTTTAACTTTCCTAACTTCCTTTTGATAAAATTGAGTAATTTTAGCATTTCGTGAAGCACATTTTACGCCCTTATTAGCCTCTACCCTTATAGGTTTCGAGTCTGGCATTAACTGAACTTGCTCCGAAGGGTTTATGGGAAAGACAATGAAATATTAGCATTAGATCAATGATATTATTGTGTGAAGCTTGACAATATTGATCATTACGATAAAGCGTGCAGTTATGTTTTTTTTCTCAAGGTGATTTCAAGCAACACATATCATTGAAAAGCATCAAGCTTTTCCATTCATTATCTGCGTGTTCAAGAAAAGCAAAAAGGAGAATTAGCAATTAATGATGAATTACAGAGCTCGGCAAACTATGAGAACAACAACCAGCGAGGGTAGCCCCACCTGTGCAGAGACGATCTCATCGTATTCTATGTTAAGCCCTTCTTTCCTTAAGCAATCTTCAAAAGCTTTCCGTTGATATTGCTTACTGTCATTTGAATTAGCTTGCTCCTTTTGATTTGTTTCATAAACTAACACGTAGTCGATGCGCTTTGCTGGCTGTGCATCGTCGCTGAAATATACTCCTTTCGGCAATCTTCGATCTGATTCCTCCCTTAATTCTAGCTGTGTATTGTCATTTTTATCCTCTTCATCTTGGCTTAATCTGAAATAGCCATTTAATCCATTTTTCATCTTGGGTTCCCTGTATTTCGGTAAGCTCTTCAGTAAAGCGTCAGTTTGGCTTAGAGAATAAATGGGCGTGATAAACTTATGCTTCTCGGCTCATTGCTTTCATCGTAAGGTAAGATTTTGTATAAGAAATCAGGCACGGGTGCTTTGTTTCCTTAAAAAGATTTCGCATCATTGAACACATTGTAATGAGCTAAGCTATATCACTCACGCGTGAAAAGTTGAGTTGTGAACTTTCTAGGGTTTTTGAAATTTCAAAGACAGTTGTTTTGAACATGTCAGTTCTCGCGATCGAGGTGCGTCGATGACGTTTCTCCCGCAGAATGTACGCAGTTATACCTACTCAAAGTTCTCTGCTGTTCTACTACGGCCTATGCAGAGTACGTAGTACGCCTAACAAGTGAATTTTTATTTTCAAACTCAAAATATACCAACTTTTGCCCTAGCTACGTTTAACAGCAATCAGGAGCATAATGTTTTCATAATGTTTTAAAGAAAGGTGCTGTTCTAACAAGCGGACTCTGCATGCTGCACACTGACCTATCATTTCGTCACTGTGCTTACAACTAAAGCAAGAAAACTACAGCGAATAGTAATAACTCACTGGGAAAGTTAAATAGTACTTTTGTGTGGCAGTAAGTCGTTTTCGCAATTTCTGCTGTAGCAACTGACTTTCTGATGCATGATAATACATGAATAGCTCGGAGAAGAAAGAATCGACAAACGTTACTGAATACTAAACAAGAATATGCGAAGAGCTGTGCTCTGGGTTTTTAAGTTTTGTTCAAGCCTTTACCGAAGATTCTATTTGCTGGATGCTGGTATTTTTCATGAGCTCTCTAAATAAGCATGCATGTCCTGGGAGAAAATGCTCTAAATATGTTTAAATTAAAATATAAGGTTGATTCAAATCGAGGAGAAGAGTGAAAGTCGTTGTCTATAGTGACCAAAACTTTACTTCAAGAATGTCAAATTATGGCTAGTAGCTTCTCAAAGGTATATCATTCAATTTTAGAAGATACGTAAATTTTCAAATTACTAAGTAATTGTTACAAGATGGAAATAGAATTGCTTTAGTCCTTTTAATTTTCAGTTTCAGTATTAATGGCGATTGAATCCGGGAAGGTAAAATACTCTTCATTTACATTTCCTGTTTACATCCAGCGGTGAATGCTAATTTAGCTAGGGTCGTGTATTCCCTGAAGGATTTTCCACTATGAAGGACAAACAGAAAATAAACCCCTAAGAAAATGAAGTCCTCAATAGGAAGCACGTACCCCAGTTTGCGAAAATCGATCGCAATGATTTTCCGAACGCTTTCATCGCTCAGTCTTTTAGATAACAGATCAAGTTGGATGCTTTTGAAAGTCAAATGATTTTATCTTTGTCTTTCTTTGTAAACAGCAATCGACGGTAAAATATTCCGATTTGTTCTGAATTCAATTTTTTTCACTGCTAAAGGCAAAACATTAAGAACAACCCTCGTCAAATTTTAGATGAAATATTCAGAAAAAGCTCGAAAGAATTCTAGCTATTATTAAAATTACACGCTCGATTTAGCAATCAAAGTAGCGGAATATTTATCTTCCCGCAGAATATTCGTGAATTCTCGACGAAGAGATTGTTTATCCACAAATCTAGAGTTAATGTATTGCCAAGCGTGTTACCAAGCACAACCAAAGTTGATTTTCAAGAATTTCATTCAAGAGGGCTGATTCTGTTATAAAATTATGTTTTGCTGCTTGATTAAACTCACTCCAACCCTTACGTGTGAAGAATGACACTGAGTTGACCGATGGAATTCTGAAATAACCTCAGAAATCTAGTGGATTCAACGCTTTTCTTTAACTTTCCCGTACGGAATAAGAGATAACACTCCATATTTTGCAAACAAATTAAATAAATAAAGGCACTCATTCGAAAAACTTCTTTGCAAAGAGTTTGAAAGTACTTATGTAATAGAGCGGTAGTCAGACTAACTACACTGAGTTTGTTTTGGCTACGCTTCAAATGTACGCAATGAATCTACTAGGTCATGACTAACCTGAGATGATATACACTCTGACCGTTCTAGGATTAACCCAGCGTTTGCAAGACTTTCTTCATATGCCCTCCTCATTTCCTCACGTTTATTGGCTTCTTCCTTGGCTTCTTCATCGTTATTTTCTTTCTCCTCGCAACGCTCGTATACAAGGACGTAGTCGATTTTCTTTCTCGATCCTGCGTCGTCCAAATACAATCCCTTCGTCTCTGTCTGTTTGGAGTGGAAAGATGGCTCCACCATATTAAGAAGAATGTCACCATCTTCGGTGGTTTTCGTGTAGGCGACAGGTTTCGCCATGAGAGCTCGATTTGTGGCGTAACTCTTCAGTGGCGTTGACAGAAGCGACGAGTTCGCTGAACTTTGCAATGGGTGTGACAGAGGGCGAACATATTTGCATAAAATACAAATTAGATGTAATTGCCTTACAAATATAATGTATCGCACGTGTTGTTAAAACTCCAGGTGCTTTATATCTCTTGAATGAATACTGTCATTTTTCGGCGAAAAATCGAAAAAAATAAAGGAGAAAAACTAGAGAGCACATTTCTAACAGATATTGTAGCGCGCAACGAAATGATGGATGTATGTCAAAATATTATGCTCCTTTTTCATCCACCTGCCTCTTGAATTATTCATGTATATTTTTTCTTTCATTTGCACAAAAACACTATCGGTTCTAGACTTTTCAGCGAAACGCTGCGAAGCAGGTTTCGCGCTTAAGCGCGCGCGTTAGAGTGCGCATTGGATATGGGATGGAATCAGAACGCGAGAGAAGCGATATTCAGAGTTAGAAATTCAGTAATCAAATTCAGCGCGGGCCTTATTTCAATCTATTCCGAAGGGACTTTGAAACATGCCCTCCCCTGTCTGTGAAAAACCTTTTAAATATATTTCGAGCACAACCTACCATAACCTTTAAGCTGATCTCATGTACATCACATTTTCAAGGAAACAGTTTACTGACACTTATCTTGTAGGAATACAGGACACTCGATAAATTTTCCATTTCAGAATAGCACATTTTCTTTTATCTTCGAGCAACAGGGAAAGTACGCAATAGCTTCAAGATCATTAGTAGTTTAATACCAGTCACATCGAGTTTCATACCAAATACATCGAGCTCCTTTTGCTTTCAGCTTAAAACTACCTCAGTTTAGCTGGCGGAAACTGTCGGGAGAATTGAGGCGAGGGATAATCATAGATCTTCATTAGTTTTTTTTATACTTATTGATGCAAAATAAGCTTGATATTTGAATTTTGTACGTGTGATGCTTTTTGTAAAACTTAAGCAGCTTTTGATTAATACAAAATAAACTTAAACTGAAGACCTATCCTCGAGATTTTTCTTGCCTTATGGTATCATTTAAATGATCGCATCTCAGGTCCTACTTTTGTGGTTCCTCGAGCAGCGGAGATGATTCTAGATTTATTACCTTTCTGGCTCGTTCATTTTTCAGAATGAGGCGGCAACACAATCTTAACAATTCTTGAACCCTCTATACTTTATTATACTTTCCCCATACCGTTTTCCATACATTTGCTACGATGCTGATAAGGAGAATCTGTTTAACGATCAAGAGCTTCGTTAGTTGTGAGCACTTCCTTTATTCTCATGACCTTAATGTTCGATTGAGGGATGATGTTGTAAGGAGAAATTAGATGCAGTCATCCTTGGGAGTCAAAGGGTTAATTTACAGAAGAGTCAAACTATTGTCCCAAGCTTTTTATTTCATAGGTACTAGGATTTATCCACAAAAATCGTAGTAAATAAAATTCGTACTGATTCTAAATGTAGCCAATCAGGAGTACGAACGACAAAATTTCACCGTGAAAAATTATCGTTCGTCCAATCAGCAACGCGAACAACGAAATTTCACTAATGATGAATGAACGTACTGAAGAGAACGTCATGCGAGAGCCGTTGCACAAAACCCGCGCACTTTGAAAAATGGCCGAGGGAAGGTTCGCTTCTGTTTACTCAGTTGAAGAATTCATTTTAGAACACGAAAACAAAAATACCGCTCAAAAAACTGAAAGAGATGTAAGATTGCTTGAAAGATTTTTGAAAACGAAGGACGAAGACAGGAAAATTGAAGATATTCCAGCGGCTGAGTTGAATGAATTCATTAGCGAATTTATTATCTCCGTACGCACTAAAGTGCGAGTAAGAGTGCGTACTCCGTACGCACTCTTTACATGACACTAAGTAGTTTGTTGGCATGGCTTCCTTTATTATAATATTAATAGACATTGAACTTGATTGATATCTGATGAACACAGGTAAGCTTAAGTGTTATGAACTTTATGCACTTTTATTAACTTGTTGTTGAGAAATTTTTAAACTACTTTTTACGCTTTTATTTCATCGCCCCATTTGTGCTATTTGTCTACCAAAGACAACACGAAAAAATCTCAGCACCTATGAAATAAACACATTACAGCATGGAAAATGCTTTGTACGATTTTCATTCACTCGTTGATACGTATCAGAAATCTCACTCGTTCGCTGCGCTCACTCGTTCGTTTTCTGATACTACACAACTCGTGAATAAAAATCGTACGCGCGCATTTTCCATGAAGTAATCTCTATGTACCAAGAATGTTTGTATCAACCAGTTAGACCCTTAGACTTGTCTCCAAATTGGTCATCAAACAAAGTTTCAGCCAGTCAAGCGTTGTTGCAGTTAATTACAGTTTTAATCTGTTAATAACAGCATACACAGCGACAACAACAAACACTACTACTACTACTACAACCTCTGCTAAACAGATCGATTCTTAAACTAGCCTCCAAATTGGTCATTAAAAAAAGTTCCAGCCACTCAGATGTTGTTGCAGTCAATTGCTGTTTTACTTTGACAAAAACAGCAGGAACAACAACAAACACTACAACTACTTCTACCGCCACTACTGTTCCAAAGTCCTAAGGGCCAGTGTGACACAAACAATTGTAAGTATGCACCAAATGGAATACGTTCAATGTAGTAGAAAAGGTGAGTTTTCCAAAATTTTTCATTTACGTCACCACTTTTGAGAGAGGTTAATTAAAATAACAGTTATTGTTGGATATATTTATTTTGATCATGCACACCCTCGCCGCCCGTCAACTGATGTAAATTCTCTTGCCACATCAAACCAGAAGTTTACATTATTTTCTGAGTTAAAAAGACAGCGAAAACCATGTAAGTTTGCACGATAACGTAACATTTTGATGAACAAAGACTAGTCTGGAAACAACTAATCCTCTAAGTAACACTCTAATGCGAAAAAAAACTTTACATACAAAACCGTTCGAACACTTTGATCAGGAGAACGAGTTAATCTAGTTACATTATATACTGAAGAATGGCATTAGAAAATCTTGGATAATTTCTCTTGGGTTAGTTTTTCCACGTTTGTTAAATGAAGAGTCCAGTCGCCAGTTTCAATTGCTCACGATCAGTTGCTGCAAATATAGAAAGAAAACTGATCAGCGCCTTACGAAATTTGGTGATTTTAACCAAGCCTCGTACCACGATCAGACAATGACATAGAATGGATATTCAGAATTTAATTCGTATGGACAAACATCACGGTTTTATCCTAACTTATTTGTTGAGTCATCTTTTAAGGTGAAAAAATAGCATTACGAAGTTAGACCCCGCAAAAACGGGAAATAAACAACACCACGCAGAAGAAATGTTTAGTTACTGTCATTTGAATGGGCACATATCAATGTTGCATATAAAGAATTTTACTTGAGTACACATTGAACAATATAAAAAACGTTGCCAAACAACAGCAGCGCCCAGCAGCTTTCACAAGGATTTCCTCTACAGATACAAATTTCCCACATAATAGCTCTGTTCGTCACAATGCTTTAGAAACTCATCTACCAACCTCACTAAGCAACTGCTTCAGTGTTTACATCGACCTCTTCGGTCTCTTTTTCTCGAAGGGCTTCCTTGGCCAGGAATTCTTCCCGTTTGATTTTCAGCGCCAGCAACTTTGGCTGATCAGGAACCAACCAGGCCAAAAACTTTCTGATTGAATAAACGATGTATTGGAACACAAATACAAACGCCAGCTTCGCAGCAATCACATGCCAGTGCTGTTTAGTGTAGGCATAAGGATATGCACGCTCGTTATAACCGGGATACCTGCATTATCATCAAAGGGGGAAAAGTTAAATCGAACAATTTTTACTTTGCTAAAAAGAAAAAACATTCTAACGTCATAAAAAATATATCTATTAACAAAACGACTAGGACATTTTCTGAAAATGTTCTTCCATGCAACTCATTCAAGCCGGTACTTTTTAACGCCTCACGTACAGTTAAGCTATCCGCGACTTATTCAGCTCCACGTATCCACCTCCCAAGTAAAAGACACAACCAATGGCGTCATTTTCGATTAGGTGTCGAAAGTGATCAGAGATTGCTCTGGTTCTACTTTACTTTTCTCTGTGATTGGTCCGGAAAACTCGCACCACTTTCCCAACCAATCAGATGCAATCCTAAAACCAATAAAAGCTTAGTGACGCGCGTTTTCCCGCGCTTTAAGCAGTTTGCTTGTTTTTACTTCGAGTCCTAATTGGTTCTTACTAAAACTTATTTTTTCTTCCTTCTTATCAGCTTTTTTCTCGTAAAAGCGCTCTAATACACTCGAAACTATCATCACTCATTGTAAAGCTGCATGTTGACTTACCTACAGTAGTCGCTGGTATAATTCAGCACTTGATATGCGTATTTATATCCTGGCTCTCCACTCAAATTGTACTTTTTGTAGTCAGATATATTGAAGTACGCCAAACGACTTTCCACGAAACCCGCCAAAGTTCCGTCGCTGTAGGAGTACATGTACACGAGCCTCGGTATGAAGTCTGACGTAAACGCTATGACAAACGCATTCACCAAAACTGACACATTTGCTAAACCTTCCATAATTGGGTACCAGGCTCCGATATCTTGAGCGCGTGTGGCGATGGGTCGGCGGAATTGACAGACATAGTTGACAGCGTCTACGCGCACTTCTACAGCACTGTTAAGCAAAGCAAACAGTGGTGCAAGAGGAAAGGCAGCTACAAACATCGTCACGAATCCGAATTGTAACACTGAAAAAATAAAGATAAGGGCCGGTGGGAATACGGCGAAATGTAATCACTCGCTGTAATGAAACTACTACGTACAAATTAATGCAAAAAAAAAAAAAAAATCAGTACTGCTTGGGTGATATTCCTGACACCGTATCTTTTTAAAATAAAAGAAATACACTCAGCCTCTAACATGTAGTACATTTCCTTCCCACCAAAGTTGCACCCTCTCTTTCTGGACAAAAAAAAGGAACAAAAACGCTTTTTCTCTATTGTTTAAGCTGCCAAATCAACGCTCCGCCAAATACTTTCTGCTCATAAAAATAGATTACACTTGAAGTAAATACACGGCCAATGAGTACACTCTTTGCATAAAAACCCGCAGTACAATCATTTACTCAAAGTCTTAATTTATAGGAACTGTAAGCCCCCCCTATTTGAACAATTTAGTCGTATGTTGAAAAATAATCAACCTTATCTCTCACTATTCCAATGCAATATAACGAGAAGAGAGTATTACCAACTTCCAAGTATTCCCAAAACAAACTGTGTTCTGGTAACGGGCTCAGTTTGTAATCTTCTTCCCACTGAGGGATGTCATCGGTTTCTTTCCTTGCTTGCCGCAGTTTCCACCATTTCATCAAGCCACTAAAGAAAAGTTAAAATATTTGAAGCTATATAAAGGTTGGTTTGTCTGAGGTAATCGTGATTTAGCTATTTCTTCCTTTCGTGACGTGCACATCATTACCCCACCCCACCCCTCTAGTTACAAAGGAGTTCAAGAATTCTGCGGTATACTCACGGGATGGCAGTTTCCGTAATGTTTCCAATAATCTGTTGCCCGACCATGATGATCGCCAGCTGTATACACAAGTCGAGGAGGCAACCTGCAGCGCCACACCCATCTAAGCGTCCACTACCTCCCAGTCGCCGGTAGTTGCCCGGTGTGCCAACTACAAGGTTCAACTTAAAGAAAGCGATGTAGAAGATCGAGGAATAAGTGTTCACGAACTGGAATAGGAACATCTTGTAGGTGAAGCTGTCTTTGTAGTCAGTCGCTGTTCGCGGATTCTCCCAATTGGTGAGCCATATTGCCAGTTTCTCGTAGAAGAATTTCAACAAATTGATGAAAACCTAAATCGAATGAAAAAAATCGTAATGATGACTTGAACTAAAGAATGTCGATTCCTGTGGCTAATCATTCACAAACTTTTCATATCAGTATTGCTCTCCTTTGAAAACTCTGGTTTTGCATTGGGAAGTCATGACAAATGTTCGAGACAGCTGTAGGTTGCCCTTACTTCAGATATTTTTCCATAACTTGATAAAAGATTTGCTCAACTGACCGAAAAATAACTAAATGTGCGTGATCGCGTATTTTTTCTGCATTTCACCCAGTGGTTCCCTCTGAAATGACTACATCGCAATCCAGAATAATGAGAAGGAGGGGGGGGGGAAGAAAGAAGGTTAAGCTAAAGTTCAATAAGACTCACCAAATTAAGTAAGGCTGCTGTAACACTTGTAATAATCTTGGCATTTCTCCGCACATTGCTTTCTTCGCTGCGCACTAAAGCTGCAAACACCGAGGCCCTGTAGGCTACCACTCCGATGACCGCCGCTACTACCAGGAAAATCATGAACGAGATTGCGCTTCCAACTCCAGCAAACCTTTGGTATTTCGTCATGTTTGGGACATGAGGTACAACCTTTCCGGTGACAGGATCTTCCCGCCAAGTTGGGGCAGTGGCCACAAACTCTGGACGGAACTGTTCCTCGACGTCTTCAAAATGCATCATGTGCCAGCGGTAGGCAAGAACAGCTTGACGTCGCTTCCAAAATTCCAGGAATACCGTCGCCCACACAGACATGAAAATAGCGAAGATAACCGTGCTGTCGTTATCGAATGCATGGGCTGCGATGTAGTAATAACAGCTTGAGACCAGAGACCAGTAGGGGCATTGATCGTCACACAGGGAACACATGTAGAATTTACGTTCGTTGGATTTGTTGCAAATATCTTTTACGGGTTGAAAGTCGCGTGCGTTAATGAAACCGTACAAGAAAACGAAGAGCCCAAAAAGAGCGGCAGGAATAAGCATGACTGTGTAAAATCCCAGCCAGGAGAAGTACAGGCCAATTTCGGTACCAAAATAATCCTTGATGGCGTCATAAGGCTGAAACTTGAACCAACGTCCGAACCGCGCCCAGTCACGCCTCAAGCGCTGCCTATCGTTCGTGGGGGGTTCCCCCTCAGAACATTCTTCGGGACCAGGATGGAGAGGGTACGATGCAGTGAAGTTTCCTTCATGAATCATTTTTTTAATTCCAACATCATACTTTTCTTCACCAAACTGAATATGACTACAGACGTTCTCTACCATTCGACTCCTGTCCGTTCGGCTGAAGAAAGTGTCTTTGTTCTTATGGCCGACATAAATTTCTAAGCGATCGCTCTTGAAGTAACCCATAAAAAAATTCCTTGACTTGGTGATGGTGCCATCGTGGATCTCGAAGGGATTAGTACGATCAATCATATCGCGGATGTTTTCTCCTACGTTTTTCTCGTACCAGCCTTTCGTTGTAATATCACTTTCCTGAAACAAACAGAACGAAAATAGATCGAAAAATGTAAATACCTACATATTCAAACAAACTAATGGAGAGGGTAAAATGAAAAATACTTTAAGTGCGAGAAAATGTACGACAAACAACAGAAAAATCGAGAAATACGAATCACAAATCTATGACATCGATTACCTTTATGGGCATTTTCATCATCATCTCTTCTGCGGTCTTGATTAAAAGTTCCCATGGAGCGTGAACTTTCAAAAAGTGTGTCTTGGTTTTGTCTTCCTATAAATTGAAGTGTGGTAATGAGTACCTCGACTGTTAAGCGATCATGACTGAGAAATTTAATAAATATTATTACCGCAATTGTAGCATAAGGAGCCGAAATGTTTTCGGTCATTTTCCGTCAATACTTAGGCATGAGGATCCAAAAAAAAAAGGACACACAAAAGAGCAACCGGTCAACAGGAAGAGCTAGTGCAGATCTTAAATTCTGAGCACTAAAGAAACCTAGCACCACGAGAAAATAATGTGCAAGCAAATGTTATAAAAACAGAACTGACAAGTACCAACTGAGAAGGGGTTGGTCAGTGACACTTTCGTCCAAATTGATGTTTATTTGAACTTCAGTGCTCTTACAACGTGTGCGTGACATGTGCTACCTGATGTTACGAACAGTGCGTCTGATCACAGCTAGTGTCCCATGTTCTGTTGCTAACAGAGTCTACGAATGACCATTCTTAAATTCCTAAATGGATGCCGTGTTTTCAGCCTTCTCTATCTCAATTACCACCCTACATTTTAGTGTGCGTTTGTGCCTATTTTCAAATATGTTCGAAACATCTCTCAAATTCAGATCGAAACAACACTGAATCACAGTTTTAGAAAAGACTTAGCTGCCCTATTAGACGTCCTCCTAAATCTTCAGCTTGTGAAACAGTAAAAATGCAAATTGCCTTTTGTATCGCGGTGACATCGCGGGCGTTTTTTACTTGTTCTTTCCAATTTTTCTCACAATCCACGTATATTTTTGATAAAAATATATTTAGTTTTAATTCACGAGCTACAGAACTAAATAAGACGCTTAAAAGTAAATTTCTTTAGGCAAATATTGTGTTTTTCTGACACACGTAATAAAAGTTGCAAGGCGCACGTGTTGATCCAACGTTATTCATAATGTGACTTAGACGTGACAAATGTGTGAAGATTACGTGACAAGTTAAGATATGTAAATATTTTCACGTCGTGGGCTACAAGGGTGAAAAGTTGTAGATAACCTTACGATCTTTGGGTCATCGTTCGAAACTTCTCGTAAGAAAAGAGAGATACACCTTTAAACGATCTGCAGAAAAGCGCATTCTAGACGTCGCGAGACAAAAATATTGTTGTCTGTGTAACGGGAAGCAAACACCAGACGTTGTCTAGTTAAGAACAAAAGAACACGAGCCACAACGATTACAAAAATAAATAGATTTACCCTGACAAGTTCCATGAGTGAAATTTCATTCTCTACATATTTTATACTCAAAATGAGGAGCAGGGCAATCAAAAACCCTATTTTAGTCATTATTTTGAGTGCAAAGGCAATTCCTTAGGTTTTTAGCACCTTGGTTTACTTAGAATATTCAAATTTTATACAACATACGATAACAAATATCGCAAAGAGAATTTTGTCGTATGAAATTGTTTTAGTATAGATACACTACAACAAAGCTTAATTTCCCAAAAAACATTTGAGTGCTCCTTTATCTTACTTTCGGCCATATGTTCATCTATATTTCGATAAAAGTAAAACTGTTTTCTTTCCTTGTTTTATTGAATTGAGCACACCCGATTAAATTTGCATCGAATCTTACACCAATACATAAACATGGAGATTAGTTACTTTCTTACCTTTGTAGTAACCTCTTCTTCGTACTCAATTTCAAGCCCAGCTTGCTTTAAATTTCGCTGAAATCTCTCTCTTTTCTCCGCTTTTTCACCCAGTTTTTCCTTCTCCTTCTCGTCTAACTCATCTTCGTTCGAAGGCGTCTCGTAAGCGATGACATAGTCAATCAGCCGCTTGCCATCGCGAAAGCGCAGCCGTTCTTTCTCCCTCTTTTCGACTTCGATGTGTTCCAACTCTATCTCGAGCGTCTGCTCCTCCATCATTTGATGTTTTGATAAAACTGCTTCTTCGTCCAAAAGTGGTGTTTGATCGGCGAACGACTCTTCGCGACCTGTACCAGGACTTTCGTTGGCTGGAACGCGAGAGCGCAGCCCGCTCGCACTTGGGTGTGCCATCAAAAGCGAAAGATATGTAAATAGTTAATCTTACACTAGAATTCTCTTGACTGTCTCACCGCAGGCAAATAATCTCAAATTACTTTTATCGCGTACAGCACGTTTCTTATGATGTGTCACGCACGCATTATGCGCCCGCATTTGATTGATTGTGTGACCAGCAATCTTACGGAAAAAATAAAAATGGAAGAGTTAAATATATTTCTCCCAGTCATGTTGAGATTGAGAATATTTAGTTTTTCTCAGAGAGAACAAGAAGGAATACGACTCTCATAAGTTGCTCCTTATTGCAAACTTACGTAATTTACACAAATTTTTAATTTTAACTTTTTGCACATTTTGTTTTCTGTTGGGGATTTATTGGTGCTCTCTCAGCCAATAAACGAGCTTAGAAGTTTAGACTCGAACACTGATTTTATTAGTAATAAAACCGACATCAACAAATATGTATGAACTAACCTCTTATCGTTCGACTTTGGAGGAGATGTTTCTCCAGCTAAAGTTAAGGAATTCATGTTTTCGTCATGAACGTTCTTTTTAGATTGACTAAAAGAAAAGAATTTGACAGAAAGTGCGCGCTTAGTGACAGGGAAATGATCAGATACACTCTGTGATCAGCCGTTTGATGTATACTCACACAGCTTCAAGGGTCTTTTTGGGTATATTTTTGTTCTCGTCCAAAGCGCCGTATAAAAACTTGGTTTCGTACCTGTGGATGTGTCAGATATGTACGATACACTCAATACATGAATAACAAATTTAACCAAAATAGCAAGCATAAAAACACAAGGCGTTCTGAAGGCCTCAACCATGAAAGTTCTAATAGTATCCTCTTTAGCTTGGATTCAAAATGGTTGCCTCCAAAGCCTTAAAAAATTTGAAAGAATTCAAGTCAATTTAACAACTTTCTTTCTCACTTAAGTAAATTGTTAATTCATAACGCGACAGATGGAAATATCAAAAGGCAAATTAAACAAATTCGTTGAAGAAGATGACATTTGACAATAAGTGTACGGCTATTTATCAAGTAGTCGTGAAGTAATCTAACGAATTCGTGAAAATTGTTTAGTGAAGACAATCGAGCACCTAGACTGGGAAGCTGTAATTTATGGCTTTTGCGTATCGAACTTGTACGACCAAACGCGGCAAGTTGTCCTTAACAACCTCAGTTTTCAGCAAATTGGAGCAAGAAAATAACCATAAGTTATATATATGATGTGGCTAAACTTAAACGTCAGCTTACCATTCCACAAGCTTCTTGGTCTCCATATTACTTCAAAATATCTTATTGCTCGGGAAAGGCTCAAGTTCTTGCAAACCAAACTTCTGCTTTATCAAAAATTCAGCGACTCGCAAACACGGTGGCTGGCACTCGAGAAAATCGAACACCGATCATGAATATGTGAAAAATTCGTGCATTAATAAGCCAATCACGAAGAAGAAATTGGCCAATCTTGTAAATGGCATTCTTTACATTTTTCATGTTTCATGTTTCATGATGGTCTTGCCCCTTTAGGGCCCTCACTTTAAAATCATTACATCAGGTGGAAATCTCATCAAAAATTTAGCGTCTGTCGTGCTGACTTTTTTCCTCATGTTTTTTCGAGTGCTCACAATGCGAGGATGGGAAGGCCCAAAAAGGAAGGTTTAACACAGCAATTCTATATCGCATTCAGCCGATTATTCAAAGGAGAAACAGACCAGATAAAACTGAAAAAAAAAAATGGATGTAACATGCATGAAAGTAGCGTTAGCCTGAACCAGAGTGGAAGCCCCGGACTTTTGACCTTTGTGATAGTGAAAAAAAGTAATCGTGGCAAACGCAGTTCGTCGATTCACTTCCATTTATTAACCGAATTTGGTTAGGACATATGCTACATGTCTGTTATGAGTCTGTTCCATGAAAAAATGCAGACTTATAAAACCAAAAGAAAAAAGGAAGACTCTAAATAAAATATACAAAATACGTCACACAGAAAATCAGTTTTGACTCATGCTCAACCAAATTAAAATCCAAGTTCAAAGAGAAAAGCCCAGACAAGATTTTGATCATTCCATCCTCCAATGATGTACGTTGTCATCATACTCTATTGATGCCAAGTCGGCTTCCATTAGCAACACTACTAGACTTTCTCGATCTGTTTACATTCTCGCAAGACATGTAAAGAGAATCTGTAGAACCTTCAGTGTGCGACACACGTGCGTCCAGGTCACGTGACGCTTCAGCCTCACTTCGAGTTAAGCATTGCTTAGCGACGTAACTCTCGCGCATTATCTTCACTTCAAGTTTGCGGGGGATATCGGGAATGAGCCAATCCAAGAGACTAACGATGAAGAAAACGAAGTATTGGAAGATAATGACGAAAGCTAAACGGACAGCGAGAACGAAGAAATACTGACGGTTGAAATCGTACGGCTCTTGTGGGTCAAAGTACTCCTTGTACCTAGTGAAACAAATATCAGCTCAGTAAGTTTGGCCAACAATTATGCAGTTAAATGACAAAGGAATTTGTAAAGTTCTAAGATTACCTGCAATAGGTTTTGTTGTAAGGTAAGTTTTTGAAAGGATCCCGAGGTAGGGACAGCTCACTGAAGTCTTTAATGTTGAAGTAAGACAAGCTATTGTTGACATAACCAGTTAAACTTCCATCGGAGCTGTATGCGTATTTGTACACTTCCCTAAAAAATAAGTAAAACGTAAATAAAAATTAATTATAGAACACTTGATCTCAAAACACTGCCACTCCTGGTCAGAAGACTTCGGGGCGGTATGATAGGTTTCAATGAATTATAGAACACTTGATCTCAAAACACTGCCACTCCTGGTCAGAAGACTTCGGGGCGGTATGATAGGTTTCAAAGGCCAAAACTTAAATATTGTTATCCTATTTATGATCATACTTTCAAACCTATGTTTATTATTTATTTAATAATTTATAAATTATTAAATGAATTATAAAATTTATAATTATTATAATTTAACCTAACAGTTATGCAAAAAGATGATTTGGTTTGATCAACCGCCGGAATTGATCATGTAAATTGGCCACCGTAAAGAGTTTCAAAGCTGCCGTTTCGAGCGTCAGCCCTTCGTCAGAGTGAATGGTACAGTGCAGTTGACTTTACAAAAGGCGGCCAGAAAAATATCTGCTTCTGTTAGCGAGGAGTTAGTCTATCACCTCAGGGCTTCTCTCCTACTTCCCCACCCCCTCCTCTACCGGGATGAAGGCAAAGTTCTCCCCCTCTCTACCTTCCCCGATATCTTTTATTCTGTGCAAGCCCCAGCTACACAAGTTTATCCTGAAAGTGACAAGGCACAGTGTAGCCTCATTTTCAAGCGACAATGCTCAACCGAACTTGTACATCACATTTGACACTCCTGAAGCATGAAACATAGTTTATGTTAGCACACATACCTCGGAATGAATTCTGACGTAAACGCGATCACAAAAGAGTTCACCACTACGGCAAACCAGCTCATGGTGCGGAGAATTCCGAACCAGACACCAATCCCTTGAGCCCGCTCTGCTACTGGTCGGCGGAAGTTAACGACGAAATTAATGGCATCTATGCGAAGTTCCAGGATATTGTTGATGAGTGCAAACAAAGGTGCCAGGGGAAATGCAGCCACGAACATGGTAACAAAACCAAACTGGATTACTGGACATAAAATGAAACGAAAGCTTGGTTAGCTCGAGCCTGGCCCTCAGATAGTGGAGACGAGAGAAAGAGCAGGCGCGAGAAAATGGCAAGCAAGCAGGCGCTGCTCTTGTGGTCGCAAAGAATCGGTACTTTCCTACACGCTCTAGCTCGTTACGCGAAATAAATTTTTCGCGCCCCTGCCTTTCCGTTGGTTTCCGCTGATGGAGGACCTAGAATTCGCTAAAGATGAACCACCTATATCAAAATTCACCACAAAACTACTTCTTTTAATTCCCAGATTAAAAAGAGAAACCTGAAAATTACATTTACCTGTTACGGCAATTAGCATACACGTGAATTTGCGTCATTTTGGCGGGAAAATCCTAGTCTTTGCTATTTTACCTTGACGATCTTACAATGAGGAACTTTTTACAAGCCCATTGATGAGGTTCTTTTTTATCATTAATAGGTACACAATGAAGACAACATCAATATATCAACAACACACAGCCATCAACATGAGACTTCAAACCAAGTAAAGACCAAACATTACCCATGTCGTGATATTCGTAGAACATTCTCAACTCCGGTTCACCATTAATTAGATAATCTATCTCCCACTGCTCAGGATGTACATTTGATTCATTTTCCTTACGCCCGTACCACCAACGCACGAAAGATCTGAAAAAAAGAAACAAAAAAACCATTCTTTAAAACAAATGAACGAACTTACGAATGAAAGAACGAAGCAAAGAGCGGGCAGTTGTGTAACAATCCAAAGAAATTTCGAACAGGCGAGCAAATTAACGAACTAAAGGAGTAAGTTAGAAGATATGGTGACAGAATGCAATACATCCTGTCAGCCACGAGGGAAAGGTATCATAAGTAACTAAGTACGAGTGGTTTCTTCTCTTCAAGTGTGCTCACAAAAATAAATCAATTTGACCACCCTTTCAACTCTCCCCCCTCCCCCTGTGTGGATTAGTCGACCAAGCCAAAGTTCTGACGCTGTTTTTAATAAGTTGGACAACTCCGTTCAAAGAACCTTGCCATCCAGCGGATAAATGCACAAAAGAGACAAACGCGTCCATCAGATAAGCGTTATCGTCCTTTTGAACACCTGGGGCCTGATATAGACATTTTAGTTCTGATTCCCATTTCTCAGTTCCAACTTAATTCAAGTTACTATGAAAAAAAAGAAAAAGAAAAACAAACGAGTAAAATACTAACGGCAAAGCAAACTTGGAAATGGAATTGATGAACTGCTTGCCAACCATGATAACAGCTAACTGAATGCACAACTCAATAAAACATCCCGATGGGTCGCATCCTTCCATTCTTCCACCGCCGATTCGATTATAATTCCCAGGATATCCCACGATACGACTGCTTTTGAAGAACGCAATGTAAAACAGCGACGAGTACATGTTTACAAACTGGAAAGAAAATAGCTTCAGTGTTAAAATATTTTGATACTCTGTTCTGGTCCGGGGGGACTCCCACTCGGTTAGCGCGACCGCTATTTTCTCATACACAACTCCCAGCACAGTAATAGCGACAAGATTCAGAACAGAAGCTGTCAAAGAGGTTATAATTCGCGCGCCCTTCTGTATGTCCTCGTCCGGGAAGGCGGACAAAACAGCGACCATAGCTGCTCTGTAAATGACAACTCCAACCAAAGTAGCAATCACGAGTAAAACCATGAACGAAACTATTAAAAAACCACATGTGAATTTCCCCGCCCGCAACGAAAACGGAATGTAGGGCTCCAATTTGCCTGTCACAGGGTTGGTTCGCTTGTTTTTGGCCTTTGTAACAAAAGCTGGCCTAGGTGGTTCGAATTGTTCTTCAAAATGCAACATGTCCCATTCGTGAGCTAAGCCTATTTCACGTCTTCGCCACATCTCCAGAAACACGGTTGCCCAGAGAGACATAAAAACCGCGAAGAACACCGTTCCTTCGTGGTCAAACAGATGTGATACTGTAGCGTAATCACAGCTTTTTGTTAGGGTCCAGTAACTGCAATCGTTGTCACAAAGCGGACACATGTAAAACAACTCGGAGTTTCTCTCATCGCAGATCTCCTTAACTGGTTGAAATGTTTCCATTGTTATAAGACCAGCGACGAAGCAGCATACGCCGACTAAACCAGCAATAACAAGCATGAAATTGTACGTTCCTAGCCAGGCAAAATACAATGCTACACGAGTCCCAAAGTAATTCTTTATCGCATTAAGGGGCTGATACTTGTACCACTGACTAAAAGATGCCCAGTTTTGACATAATCGCTGACGTTCGTTTGTCGGAAGATTATCTTCGCTCTCTGTCCGAAGATCTTCATGCAAGGGATATGCACATTCGTAGACCCCTTTATGCAGCAGACGAGAGATTCCGAAGTCGTCCATTTCAGACGAATACTTCGTCGAGAGTAGAAAGCGATGGGTCATGCGGCTTCGGTCAATGTCGGAAAAAAACGTTTCCTTGTCTTCGATAAGGAAACAGTCTGACTTTGCCCGACTAAAAACCGCCGTTACCTGACGATCAGGTTTCATGAGAGAACGATCTTGAAGTTGGAAAATATTAAGAACATTTTTGGCCTTTTGAAGCCATTTACTCTTTTTCGAAGACTTGAGGTGTATTAGCCTTTCAGGCTCGCGAACAGGAACCCGAATCATCATTTCCTCTGCGCACTTGGCCAGAGCGTCCCAGGGAGCGTGGACAAGAACAAAGGTGAGGTTTTCCTACGATGGAAAAAAAAATAAGTAAATAAAAATTCATTTTCAGGGATTAGAACTGTCATGTCTATTTAGTCCAAAGGATTTCAATTCATTACAGAAATAAATCTACTTTCAGAAAAGATTAAATTACAAATGTTATATCTACAGATCCAGGCCCAGCTGTACAAAGGGCGGATAACGCTATCCAACTGATAAATCGCTATCCAGCGGATAAGTGATGGCAAACCGTAGAGCGTTATCCACCAGATAAAGATTTATTCTGTGAATAGCGTTATCCGACCTTCGAACAACCGGGGCCTGGATGTTGCAGTGAACCTGTCAAATTAAGGCCGAAAGTATAATTGCCAACATACCACTCAAACGATTCCTTAGGTATTGTATTTTCAAACCTGTTTGTTAGATGTTACGTGTTCTATCATCAAGCCTTGCTTTTTCAGATTCTTCTCATATTTTTCTCTCATTTCCGCTTTTTCTCTTTCTTCCTCTTCATTTCTCTTCTCCAACTCAGGTTCAGAATAAACTAACACGTAATCAATTTTCTGCGTGGAAAACAAATAAAATTTAATCAAATCAAATTAGTTGTGATTGTTATTGGATTGCTGCTCACTACCTAAGAAGGCTCGGATAAAATTGCAAGGAACCACGTTAGACAAAAATCATTATGAGATCTTATACCAAGATGGCCGAAGCCTCCTTTAACTTAAAGAAACTCATATACTACAAAGCTTGCTTTCTGTTATTTTCATTTGAAAACTAAATTTACTGCATCAACTTGTGGAGACCTTGAATGTAAACATCTTTCCTGCAGCTTACACGAAAGGAGAAAGATGTCAGTTGTTTAGGTTTACAATATGATTTTTAAAACAATGCTGAATATGGATTTTACTTCTGACAAATGTTTCCTACTGCTGTCTTGTATCACATCATGCACTAACACAACAAACATTAAATCAAGTAGAGTCCCACCTTATTCAACAATTCACGTTTACTTATCGATCCCGATAGACTTTGATCGCCCATATCTTGTAAAAGTATTTCCTCCATTGTCGAAGGATTTTTACCGGTAGCGATGCGCTCAAGGTTTATTTCCGAAGTGCTTATCGCTGCGACGTAGCTATCGCGTTTCTGCGATGCTTGACTCCAACGAATTGGGGCAGGACTTTGTCGCGGTTTGTCAGACGTACTTGGCAATTCATACGCGGTGGAAGATGCAAGAGTCGTTTCATAAATGTCTCCGACGTTTTCTGCGGTTGCTATGCGTGAAATCGGATCTCTGAAAATGAAATGGGATAGTTTAATTTAGTGATGAGTAGTGTTCCAATTACTTGTAAAAACAACGCATAATCATATCAACAATAGCGGTCTGAACACAAAATCGTTTCGTAAGTAAAACCCAGGTGGATAAATAAGTATGGTGGTATAACAGGTGGCAAACCACTGTGGCTTTCCTCTCGAAATTTGCAAATACGTCTTTGTGATTTGCTTGTTTACTAGCGTAATCAAGTGACAATAATAAAAGAAAAGACATTTTCTAAACGTTAAGTGTTAATTCTTAAAAGGAGGTCCACCTATCAAGAAAAAAAAAAAACCGTCGTAATGCTTTCAGGCTGGTACCAAATTTTGCGGGTTTTTTTAACACGCCTTTCTTTTCAATGTAGGAGGTTGTGGTGCCTCGGAGTTTAATAACGAGTGAAAAAAATTTAAGCAAACTATACAAACTTAAAATTTTATCAAAAATAGTGATAAGATAATTTTTTGCACCGTTTCTCACCAAATTTTCACCGTTTAGACCATTCGACTTCGATAACATATTGCTATATCCATATACAGCGTCATCAAATTTAAAGCCATTAAGAAATGCGCGTTCTGTAGTTAATGTTAACCTGATTAAACGGACGCTATAAAATAAACTCACCTTCCTACCAGACAAAATACTCGTGATTTGTTCATTTTGTGTAGTTCCCGCAAAGGGAGGGTGAATTGGTTTTCTCGGTTTCAATTCCGCAATCAAAATAGGCGGAACGTAGTTTTGTTTTGCATTGTTAATGAACAATGCAGAAACAATATCGTGATAATTTATGCAGAAAAATTATATCACATGCTTAGTTAGATGACATGGTGGCAAAGGGTGCGTGGAAAAAAAAAGGAGCTCTAAGAACCAACGCCTGTAAATATACATTTAACGCATAAATATCAGAAAAATTAGGTATCGACATTATCTTGGCAAAATTTAATCTCATTTTGAGGTCTACTGAAAATAATATTTTTGCAATAAAGAAATTCTCGAACAAAAAGGCGGTAGGAGTTTGAGCCCTAACTGAATCGTTATGTTTATTATTATTTTTTTTTGTTTCTTTTCGTTTTGTTTTGTTTTTTGCGAAAGACACGTTTCTCCAATTGTCATTCTCTCTTAGGAGTCTTCTAACGTAGTCTTAGAACTGAGGGGGGAGGGGTGGGGTAACATTCAATCGATGGATATTTATTTAGGCATTTTATCTAGTAGGAGTGGAAAATACACTTGAATAAACTTGTGAATTTATCCTAGGTTACAATAGTGTGAAAATCTTAATTTTTTAGTTCAATTTTTGAAACATCTCCCGATATATCTTAAAGTAAGCACCACTGATTCAGAGACTCTTACTGACCGGAAGTGCGTGTCACAAGGTCAACCTGTTCTTAAACAGAGACGATCAACTGATTTATCGTGTTTCGTCATGACAAACAATTTAAGAAACACAATTAATAATTAAAAAGAAGTGGTTCGTTTCAATGTAATCGAAGTGATCCAAGACACCGTTAATTTTGAACAAGATCATGGGACTGAAAGGCTTAAAAATCTACCGGTTATAATACCATGAATAGAAATAATCATAGACCGTACTTGTGCGTGCATGTGACCATGCATGTGGCCAGCATGGCCACACTGATCGTAAAAGTCTCGTATCTAAGTAGTGCCAGCTGTCTCATCGAACTCCTAAATACCCTTCCTAACCGTAAGTTTTTTTTACAGGTGAAAAAACTGACAAAAAGAAGTTCTTACCATTAGCTTTGACTTCCAGGTCGATCGAATGCCGATGTGATTACGACATGCCTTCACAAATGTTGATTGAGAAGAGATCTGGTACTCAAACATACCCCATAAGGCATTTCGCGTCGATCAATGAGAATATGCAATCATCCAGCAGAAATACTCATGAGCGGATAAATCCAACATGGCGGTCTCGATGAGCAGATTGCGGTATCACAAATTATATCAGTTTGTCCGTCTATGTAATGAATCTGGATACTCCTTATCCCACGTGTATCCACAGAGAAGGTCATTAAGTCACACTGTTTGTCAGATGTATTCTACATCTTCGCCTGTTAAGGCCAAAAAGTGGAATCAAACAGGAACGAAACAGCATGCGCACGGTTTTGACAAAACGCGGTCTCCTCCAAGGCCACATCATCTTCGGGACGATCTCACATCAGGATCGCATTCAAAGGATGATAAGGTTTCAAAAGAAGAGGAAGATCCCGAGTCTGACCCGGAGACTGAAGACGAAGAGGAACCGAAAAGATTTTCATATAGAAAACTGAAAAGTCAGAAATCTGGAAAGGGGTATTTGCGACCGTCTCGGTATATGTTTAGGGAAGTTGAGGCTACAGGGGAGGAAGAGAATCTATGGGAAAGAAAAAATGCCGATATAAATCGCAAAGGAAAAGTTAATTGGTATGCAAGACAAATGTTGAGGCTTTCTCAAGAGAACAAGGTAAGACTATGTAAAGATAACTCTATCTTTAGTTTGTCCGTTAATTACATGTGTTTTTTTTTGCTTTTTTAGTTTTCTTAGCTCAATGATGTCATTAGAGACTGATATGTATGGAAATTTATTGACTAAAGACAACTTTTACCAGGTTGATGAAGCCCTTGAACTCTTGTCTTCTATGAAAAAGGACAGACTTAACCCAAAGATAGAAGTTTACAACATTTTCATTTCTGCATATGCCAAGACTGGGCAAGTCAAGAAGGCTTTTAAACTCTTCAATGATGTAAGTGATATGTTGACTAAATTTCTTATGACTTAGAAATTTATCTTTAAAAAATATTTTGCTCAAAGTCGTGAAATCAACAGTACATAGATTGCAGCAAGTAACACCTTATAAACTTAAGTTGTAATGCAATACATTGTTTACTTCACGAGAATAATGGTATCCTTCAAATGATGCTTTACCCCTACAACCTACAGAAAGTAAAATGTAACAAATCAATTCACGTGGAGGGAGAGTGGGATTAAGCAAAGTTAGTTGTTGTGATGCTCCTTCTTATGTTCACCACCAATGATTCTTTGCCTAACTGAGTATCTCCTTCATGATTGTGCCTTCCACAGGAGAATGTAAAATGAAGTCAGTTTATTAGCCAGATGGCTCATATAATGCTAGCACTGATAACCTTGTTTTAGTGGCATGAAGCAGTTAGAAGTATTCCTTCTCTCTTCTGGATGTGATGCTTGGCCATATTTACCCCAAAGCATTTTACCTCACATGAAGGGATGGGGGAGAACTTTGAGCAACTCTCTTGTCCAAAATCACACTAAAAGAACCCATTCAAGGGGCAGAACTAAACCTTTTGATTAGGATTCCTGCACACTTACTATATCAGTATATCACCACAATAGGAGATGGTCTTCTGTAATGTATCTACAGCAAAACTCTTGTAGCAATAAAAAGGTAGCTTGAATTTCTAAAACATCTGTATTTTCTTTCATTTGTCAAGGTAAAGAAATGGGATCTGAAGCCAACAGCACACACCTACTCAAGCTTGTTCTATGCTTGTACTCAAGCTCCAGTTACAGAACGTACTTTGGAGAAAGTAGAAAAACTTTACTCTGAAATTGGCATAAGAGTTTCCAAAGATGAACTGGAAATGAATCTTATTACATACAATGCAGCCATTCAGGCCTTTGCTGTTTGTGGTAATCCTGATGGAGCATTTGACGTGTATCAGGAGATGCGAAACAAGAAGTTTGTTCCTGATGAATACACCTTCACATCGTTATTAGCAGCCTGTTGCTTTGATCCAGTTGAAGGGCCCAGACTAGCTTTTCAATTACTGGAGGAAATGAAGTGGTTTAGATTACAGCCAAATATTTATATTTACAATTCAGTGTTGAAAGTTATGAGAGATTTTAAACTTTCTCGCCAAGAACAAACTAAACACCTACCTGAGGATACAAAGGGTCCTGTAAAAGAGGAAAGAACTTCTGAGCATGAGATTCAAATTGATGGTGGTAGTGAAACATCAGACAGTGAAATAAATTATGAATTTAGTTCCTCAGAGAATCTTCTGCAAGAAGAAAGCATGCTTGAAAAACAGAATGAAGAGAGTGTAAACTTGCATGACTACTTTCCTGGTGTGGAGAAGTTTATCCAAATAATGGCTCTTGAGGATGTTAATCCTGATATACGCACCTTTCAAATGCTGCTGCACCTCACATCATCAAAATCAGAAGAAGAGTATTTGATGAATCTTATGAAAAGTTGTAACATTACCCCAGACGCTACTTTTTTTGACTCTGTAATCAAGAAAAAGGCATTAGAGGGTGATCTAAAGCAGGCAAAGGTAAACATATTTATACTTCTAAATACCCTATTTAACATATGCCTCAGATTTAACCTTTTCCTTTGTAGGACATTGGGTACACATCAATTGTAAACTTAGAATATAGCACAATTTACTTGTATGTGAGTACAAGAGTTTCTGGCTGGAAATTAGTTGAATTCAGGAGTTGAATTCCTTAACAGCTTAACCTTTGCCCAATACACCCCTGACTTCACCTTCTTGTTAAAATACAGAGTCGTTATAAATTAGAATGTGATTGTTACGCAGTTTGATTAATTAATTAGTTAATTAAGACCAGCACTCAAATTTTCTCTCATCCAGACTTGTCAAATGAATTTAACAACTTTAATTAATTTTCCCAATAACTATTTTACTATGTGTATGTGAGGCATTGGGTTCCTAATTGCTGAAAGACAACAATTTTTGCAATCCAAGTAATACAGTTTTCTACTTCTTTCATTAATTGCAGATTTTAAAATTGTCATCTATTTTAATACAGGTTTACATGAAGCAACTGCAGGAGAAACTGCAGTTTTCTCCATCAGAAGCTTCTTACCAAGCATTAGCTTGTGGATGTATAAATCAGAATCAAGGACTTACTTTACTAGATGACATGAAGGTTTGAAATATGATTATACTCTGATAAATTATATGATATTTTAAGAAG